GTATCGCATCCAGCTCTTTCTAGAATCGGCAGGTCGAGGGGGGAGCACCTGAGCGGCTGTTTGGGTCGCGGGCTTTGCGGTAGGCACTCCACAGCTCCTTCACTTTAATCCTGCACTGCAGGGCGTCCCAGTCATGGCCCCTTTCCATCATGTCATTTGATACCTTCCTGGAGGTATCGTAATTCCTACGGCTGGAGCACAGCTGGGACTGGACAGCTTCCTCCCCCCAAACACTGATGAGGTCCAGCAACTCACCATTGCTCCATGCTGGGGCTCACTTGGCGCGTGGAGGCATGGTCACCTGGAAAGATTCGCTGATAGCACTCCACGCCACGCCGGGCTGAGCAAACAGGAAGTGGATTTTTAAAATTCCCAGGGAATGTAAAGGGTGGGTCACGTGGTTGGTTACCTGAGGCCAGGGCAGTAGAGTTTGAACTGATGACCAGAGTGGCTAGAACAGGCATTGTGTGATACTGCTGAATACTTCTGGAGGCCAGTCACAGCGCATTGGACGGCCACACTGGTGCCGCAGCACTGCAGCGGCAGCGCAATACATGCTATTCCTCTCGGGGACGTGGAGTACATGCAGCGCTGCAACCACGGAGATACAGCGCTGCAAATGCCTTGCCAGTGTGGATGGGGAGTGAGTTACAGCATTGGAGGAAGCTTTTCAGCGCTGCAACTCGCAAGTGTAGCCAAGGCCTCAGTTCAACAAATCAGCCCTTTACAGTTGTTGCCTTCACTTTCTTATCTCCAGTGACATCCTGGATCTTTTCCAACAATCTTTTAACCCTCCATTGTTCTCACCAAGGTGATTAGTTACTTTTTCCTCACCAATTCTGAGAGCTATCGTCCATCTGCTTCCTCTGCCATCTGTCCACTACTTGGTATCATCAGCTTTGCATTCTCCTTGGTCTTTCATGAGTCTCATGTCCCTGACTGATCCTTCATATTTGATGCATCCTTTTCTTACCCTCACTGTGCAGGAGAACTTGGTTCTTGAGCAATTCCTCTTCCTTCCTCGCCCCCAATCTGATCTCTAGAGGTCCTCATCCACTCTCCTAGTTTCACCTATTATCTCTGTGCTGATAGCTTACAAATTGATGATGCTTGTTCACTCCTCATTTGTTTCTCCTGTCCAATCCCTCATTTCAGCCTGTGTTTCTAACATTTCTTCCTGGTTGTGTAAGCATCAGTTTAAGCACAAAATGGCTAACTTAAATATTTAGGCATCTAAATCCCAGTTTTAGGTACCACTGCAATTTACACAGCCCCCACTTGACTGCCGCCTAATACTGTAGACATCTAAACTCATTCAGCACCTAAATTTTTGCTGTAAAAGTCTCCTAGCTGCCTACGTTTCTGCCTTAGGGCATACACACTGCTGCCTCACTCTAGGCATTGGGATGCTTATTCCTCCCTAAGCCCCAGTGTGAGCCACAAATTGGGGGAAGATAGACAGAAGTGCACCTGTCTCACCTGCAGAGCCAGATCTGGAAGGTGTGCTCAGAGGCTGCCTACTGGATCAGGTCCCATTCAAAATCCAGTGGTGATGTCCACCATATAGCTTTTATCCCATGGTTAGAGCACTGGCCCGAGATAGACAAGACCCATGTTCAATGTCCCCTCTGTCTGAGGGTGAAAAAGGATTTGAACAGGGCTTTCCCATCTTTCAGGAGAGTGTGCTAGCTATTGAACTGTGGGATATGCTGATGTGGGGCTCCCTCAGTTTCTCCTGTTGGAGCTGCTGCACTTTGAATACCTACTTAGTCTTTAGGCCAGAAAGAGAGTGACTCTATAGCCTGGGTTTAGGACCCAGACTCCCTGCGGCTATGACTCTAATTATTTATGCACAGTGGAATAGCTTCAATAGGAGAGATTGAGGAAGCCTCACACCAGAGTATCTCATAGGACGGGCAGAGAAGGGAATTGAACATGGGTCTCTGACCATCTAAGGTGAGTGCGCTAACCACTGACCTAGAAGTTATAGGGTGAGCGTCACCCTCTGCTTCCTTTCCTCCCCACCCTGCCCATTTGTGTGGCGTGAGGCAGGTGCCTAACTCATTCTCATAAGAAACAACTTAGGTGCCTAAGCCACCTGACTCCAGGAGCGGTGTTCCTGGTTATGGATCACTAGCAGAAATATGTGCTTCCCTGGAGATGGAAATAGGCACCTGATTCCATAAGAGGGGCAGGGTTTAGGCTACACCTCTCTTATTTGCATCTCCCATTGGCTATCTTAGGCATCTTTACAACTGGTATGCTGACTTTTGTTGATCCCATTCTTAGGTGCCTGTCTCACCTCATTCATTGTATAGAGAGCCTACGTACCTAACTCAGGCATTGTGGATCACATTGATTGTCTAGGCACCTAAAAATTAGGCATTGCAGCACTCAGTATCACAAAACCTAAGTCTCTTTGTGGATTCAGGCCTAAAGTACTACTCAATTTAATGGTATCACAATCAGGGCTTTATTCGGTCGAGGGAACTGATATACCTGCAAGTGGGACTGGCACATTCCGTCCTATAGAATCAGTTGTATGCGCATGTATACACACACACACACACACACACACCACACAGTCGTGCAGTCAGCAGTTTCTCAGTAACTTAATACAATAGAAACCATAAATTGAACTGGAGTAAATGTTAGGAATATTGTACACAATACAGTAATTTCATGATACCTTGATATTATTACAAAAAGTCTTAGAAAACAAAGTCATACAAGCTAAAGATCTCTTAATGTTTGCACATTACTGGGCATTTCATCATCATCATCATCAGCGTCATCAAAGTATTCATAAGATTTAGATCCATACTGCTTTGCACTCACACTGCAGAATTTCTACAGTCAGGAATACAGTCTAGCAATAAGCACGCCTAAAGTCCCTCATTTGGGCAGCCAGCAGAGATTTTGCCTGGCTGACTTAAAGTGCTCTGACAACTGGAGGAGGTTTTCAAGAAGTTTTAGAGCCTACATGTTGGAAAATCTGCTCACATTTTGGCATGTGCTGCGTGTCTGGGTACTCAGCTCTCAGCTGGGTGAAAAGCCAGTGGAATTTTCAAAACCACATAGCATCCATTTTGCTTTACCAATCCTGTTCTCCCTGCCAGGGAAGATGTAAGTGCAAGTGAACAATGTAATAAGAAGTTATATATAATAGTACTGGACCAGAACTTTTAGGCATTTACAAAAGTCACAAGAAGAATGGCTTGGTTACTTTCTTGAAATGGGGCTGTAGTTATGAACAGTGCAGATTCCAAACCTGTAGGATTCAATTGTTTTCTGTAAGGTCCCTGGATGGGGAGCAAAGGATACAGGGAGTTGTCAGCCAGGGTTTGCACCAGCAATGCAAGGAACCCATCTGGGTGGGGTTCCTTTGGCTGGCCATGCACATAGACTGTCCAATGGACCATCTGGGCAGAGGCAGGACCAAAGGAACTGCTGTTGGGAGAAGGTGGGGGTATGTAAATGGTAAAGACAACGAGAAATGCTCATTTGCAAAATGACAGTGGTGACACCATCCTCCCATTATGCTTGTACTGGGAAAGGGAGACTTTAAATCCAGTTGGGGTGCCATAGACAGAAGTTTCGCTGGCAGCTCCTGGCTAATCTCTCGTTCGGGCTGTGTTCGTGGGCTGGAACAGGAGTGGCAGGCTGCTTGCACTGGCATGTTGATGTTCTATATGCATTTCCACCCACAGTCTAGTGTGAAACAAGCAGTTGGACAGCTTTTTTCTGCTGTACTGAATGAGGCAAAGCCTTCTGTGGTACATTAGTGCTGCTTCAGGTGAACTGGTAGCAGGTGAAAACTAAACAGGTTCAGGAGCTCTGGGAACAGCAGTTTTACTGCAGGCAGGGAGGCAGATAATGGAAAACAGGCACAACAAAGCAAAAGGGAAAAGATTATTTACTTTTGTGCCTTTAAGCTGGGCTCTGTGGGATGAGGCTATTGCCCGGCTTTCCACTTGCAAATGACATTCTTGTTTTTCTTCATTTTGTCTTCAAAATGGACAACCTCAAGAGAATACTATACAGGAAACATTTTTAAAACACTCCTGCCTGCAGGGCTGGCACTGTGCTAAATTGGCCCTCTGGGAATCAATGCTTCCTCTCTGTGCTGACAAAAGGTGTTATGTCAGCCAGCAGACCAGTGGAGGTGGAGTAGGAGGTTTGCAGAACTTTTGAAAGTAAAATTTTCCTGAGTTTTCTTTTATGTATAAATTTAAACCACTGGCTGATTATGTTTTTCTCATGTAGCCGGCCAAATGAAGTCAGCTGGAGGACAGCTCAGGATGCTTGTGGGAACATGTGGGCTATTAAGTTAGCCTGGTTATTATTTATTATGTTTTTATTATTACTTGTGAATTCATTGCTTTGAATCTGAATATCTCAAAGGAAATTAACAAGGTGGATCAGTATTTTTATCCCGTTTTAGAGATGGTGAAACTGAGTTATTAAAGTCCCTTAATTGGGCAGCGGGCAGAGATTTTGCTTGGCTGGCTTAAGATGCTCAGAAAACAGGGGAAGTTTTCCATGTTGTCTGAAAATCCGCTCACATTTTGGAGTGTGCAGGGTGTTTGGATACTCAACCTCGGCTCGGAAGCACATCCAGTGGAATTTTCAAACCCCCATTGGTATATGCATCCATGCTGATTTTCCAGTGCTGTTCTCCCTGCCAGGGGAAGATGTGAGTGCAAGTGAATCATGTAATAAGAATTTATATATTGATATATTGGAACAGATCCTCAGTTGCTGAAAATCTGCATTGCGCCACTGATGTCAATGAAGTCAGGGCGGGATTAAGGTATAAATACTAAAGGCCGATGCCTAGGATCCCAGCTCCTGGAGTCACGTGTTGACAAATTCCAGATTTCATTTATTTATTTGAAATGAGGAGACTGCATAATAGAGGCTACTAGGACAGAGCACGACATGTAGATTCAAGTAGCATACATGACATTGGTCTAAATGTCATTTCATGTTTCTTCAGGAACATCAGAAGACCAGTATGGAACACCATCATCACAGAATTCATCTGGAGCCATTTGTACCTACTGGAGGTAAGATCTTTCTCTCTTAACACCCAGATGCACTGCTGTTCCTTTATCTCTCTTAGCACTACACAGTTTGAAACATGGACATTTTGTAAAAAAACCCAGCTGAGTTACAACAAAGATCCAAGGTTCAATGTTTTATCTTTTGAAGTCTACTTTCAAAATAGTAAACCAGGAAACAAATACAAATTAAGAATCTGATTCTGCAAACAATTACTCCCCTATGCAGTCCCCTTGAATCAGAAGGACTCTTCCTGGGAAGTAACTGCAGGATCAAACCCTAACCAGCATACTACACAAAGAACCAATGGTGAGGACTTGGATGATATATAAAGGAAATCCTGAACAAAAAGATTTCTTGTGGTAAAGATCATGGATTTGTTAAGTAAAACAATTGGGTTGTCTTTAGAAATAATGGTCCAAATTCTTAGCAGAAGTAACACCTCCAGTGAAGTGAATGGAACTGTGCCAGTTTACACCAGCAGAGAATTTAACCCCCTATATTTGAAAGTGCTATATATAGCCTACATTTGCAGGGAGATGGGCTGGATAGTACGTCTCTTCCATCTCTAAAATCTGTGAGAATGGTGCTGAGCATACAAGTCCTCATATCCCAGTTGTATTCCACTCCTCTCCGACAGCACTGCTTTGGATAGTTGCCCCAATTATGTTCAGGAAAGCATGACCCCATGTTCCTACAAGCAACCAGAATGTTTTTTTAAAAAAGACCATGTTATAAATAATGCATTGAAATACAAAACCATTTTGTCTCTATATAAAGAAACAGATGAAATAACGATTTGACTTTACCTGGGTCAAAGAGTAGACAGCTGGAATTAAAATAAAAACAGTTAGAGCAATACAAAGATCATGAAAATCAGAATTCAAGAGAGCTCTGTAGTAAACACTAATGAATGACAATGACTGTAAATTGGATAGGATTGATTAATTAGCAAAAAAATATGTTGCTTAGATTATTTGTTTAAAATTCTAGATACATGCATTTAAATCTAACTATGTATGTTGCCATAACAACAATAAACCACTATTATATCATTTTCATTACATCATTTTGGATATCATTGCATTATTTTACAACTTTGGTTGCTAGGAGAACACAGTACCTTTTATATGTGTCTCACTTTGTAGAGTGGCTAGCTACTTGCTCCTGCCCTCTGAAATAGTTAATGTAATGATTAGCACAACAAGAAACTAATTATACATGCTGGAGTACATTACACTGGAAAAACATACCTGTAACAGGATAGCCAGACCCTTCTATTGACCCACCCTGTTCACAGGTGTTAGAAGCATGCAAAAAGCTGCTGAAGTTCTGCTGTCTGACTGTGACAACTTTTGGTCATTATCCTGAAGATAATGGAGGTGGGAAAGCTTCTTTAAAAAGAAGCAACTAGGGAGCTAGCACAAAGAAGGTCCTGTGGAAAAATAAAGAGAGAGCCAAGCTCAGGGAGGAATCTTACACTGAACCTTGTGTTGTACTCTTGTTGTGAATTACCAATAAGGCCAAACCCCAAGAAAGGGGTGACTGTCCGCTCTAACCCAGGGCTTGTGTTCTGTTTAGGGGGCGGGACTCTGCCCATGCACAGTAACTTTATTAAAAATACAAATTGCACTCCAAAGGCCAGATCCATTTCCTGGAAATGTTGCTAAATGTTGACACAACGCTATGAAATCTTCTAGGGTAATAACAGCGAAATAGGGGTACAACTGATCCCTACACATTGCATTCAAGTGATGGTCACACTATAAGTGTACACGATAGTAGCGCTGGTCTGAAATAGTCTGACAGAAAACGCCAATTTGTCAAAAGTGGAAATGTGTCTATTTTGATGAATCTTTAGAAGAAAACCACTTGGTGGGCTGGGAAGGTGGAAAACACCAGAACGTTCACAAGATGGAATGTTTCATTTAAAAAAAAAAATATTGTGGAATTTCACTTCCACAAAATGTTTTGAGATTCTTGCTTTTGGGCCTATTTCAGGAGAATTTTTTTCTCCAAACCCTGAATTTTTTTGCAGAAGTGAAATTCACGTTCCCGACCAGCTGTATAGATTAGCTAATTTGTGGGATATGACATTACAGCAGAGGAGAACCAGTTGTTTTTGCAGTAATGATGGATTGCGAGGTGATTCCTGGGGTTTATTGACCAGCAGAGAAGTGATGGCAGCCTAAGCTGTGTGTCATACATGGTCTATGGTCTGCAGACAAAACTGTACTAGGAGCAGGAGGTGCTGGGTAAGAATCTGGCCATGGAGTGGGTTTGAACACTGCATTGGAAGTGAGGATGTCAACTCCAGAAAGGGACAATAATGGCAGGGCAACCTCTGGGAGGGTGTCATTGATGTACTCATCATAGAGATTGTATCAGTGAAGAATGCAGTTAGGGAAAAGGGGACAACAGCTCCAGCTCTGTTTTCTCAATTTCAGGCGTCAGGATCGATGCCAATGCACCCCCAAGTGTGGACAGAACATACATACACCCCCATTAAGGTAAGTCTTTTCAGGGGTGCTGTGTGTGTGTGTGAGAGAGAGAGAGAGAGCATGAGTGTTTGTGTGTATCCTAATTTTTGTAGTTAGTACTTTTTTTATATATTATACTGCAGATTGATCCCCACAATACCATCTTTTCCCTCCTCCGATAATACACAGAAATATTGTTTTAGCTTTGCATTATCTTGGAGTCGTGTGTGTCTGTTCAGAGAAATGCATGCACTTGGGTCAGCCCTGCACGCAGGTAAATGGCAGTGGACAGATAGGTGTTTACTTGCTCCTGCTGAGTTAATCATCCCTTAGGCTGAGAGAATCACAGAGGCACCTCCCTGCTTGAGTGTGGAGGACCCTGGACACATTTGAAAATTCCATAAGAGAACCTATCTCAGAACTGCCTCTTTATCCAGCTCCTCTCCCCACATGCTTCTCCCGTGGCTGCACAGAGCCATTGTCCCAGGTACCAGATGTGTGGTGAGAGGAACCAAAAAACCCTTTTAGATGCTCAAACTGCATATTTCTCCCCCCGCTAGCTTTGGAAAATCCTGGCCTTAATCTCTGTGCTGCAGTTTCCCCATGTGGAAAAGGAGAACAACAAGAGTTACCTCTTTGTGAAGTGCTTTAATATTAACAAATGAAAAACTGCCATGTACTGGCAAGTGCTATGAGAGGTTGTGCTTATTATGAGAAGTGTGGGCTTCATAGCTTCTAGGAGAACCAAGAGAGAAAAATAAATATTGAAACGTTTTTGAAAGTTTGTTAAAAGCCAGTGCTGTGTGTAGGTGCAGCTCCCCTCACCCCAAGTTTATTTATGGCTGCAGTATCTGTTGGAAAGATTTTGTTCTGATACCTCACCCAACAGTGTGAAATGGAAGAAATATGTTTTTTCCTCAATCTCCTCCCCTCCCTTGCCTTAGCTTGAGACTGCAATTAAAAATTTCCCAGGAGACCAGAGAACCAAAAGAAAATTCATGGGGCACCTTAAATATCAGTCATTTTGGGTTTTTTCTTTATTTCGTCTTTGTCTTTGAGAATTAAACTGATTGGACAATAAAAACAGCAGTGCCAGGCAGTGAATTTGAGTAACAATGTGCACCTCTCAAAATAAAAACAGAGAACACATTTCTTCCATATTTTCATGAATACTGTGTGTCTTTCAAGTGGTGTGGAGGGATCAAGATTATTGAAACAGACCCACAGAAAAAGAGATTTGATTTCACAGATCATGTTCTACTTGAGAAAATTATAGAGCTACTTTTTTCAGTGGTATAGACCATCCTCCCTCCACTACAAAATGTCAGGCTTCAGCATCTGCAGAGTTCCTCCTTGTTTCTTTTAAATGACAGCCTGACTCTCCAAAGTGTCACTAATAATCCAGGCTTCAATTAGCGGTGTAGGTATGTAGGTTTTTGACACTATTCTCAAAGCTTCCGTGGGCTGCTACAGCCTACAAGCCAGGGATCATTTCTGCTTTACAAGATTCAAAGGAGAGAGACTGGGAAGGAAAAGCTACAGTTTTTATTATTCCGTGCTAGCAGAATAACGAATACACTTCTTTTAATACCGAAAGCTGTCATTTGAGAAAAATCCTATTGCCTGATCAAGCCCTCCATTACTTATTTCTGCAAGTGCATGCACAAATCTAGTAGCTAAGCCCACGATGCTGGTACCCAAAAAAAAAAAAATACAGCAGGGTATTCTAAAGAATAACAATTTAGAGGTTGTGGGTGGTTGTGGGTGTAATAAAAAAGACTGCATACTGAGGCATTAGAATTAAGCTTCTCTTTGGCTGCTTACATTCTGTGTTAAATTGTTAAGGGCCTGATTCTGCAACCCTTATTCTCCCTGAGTAGTAGTTGCTTGTGTGAATAGTCCCAGTGAAGTGCTAGCGGTGTAAGCAAAGGTTGCAGAATTGGGCCCTAAAGCAGAAGCTGAGCAGTAACTTAGCTGGATGCCAGTGGAAAGGATTCGGTTTACTTTAGGCTCTTTACACATGGAGGGGCATTTTTATTTTAGCTATTAACTAAAGGGTTAGATTGTGCTGAGCCTTATCATCCTGAGGGAACACCAGGGAACACCACCCTGCCTCATGGAAGCAGAGTGACTCCTGGGCATGGAGAGGCTGCTTGCTTCACTGTGCTGGAGAGTGGAGGAGGGGAGCCAGGGCCCTCCCTCATCCCACTTCAGAATTCCATACACTCTTAGGGCACCCAAGACCCTAGGCTCCCCTGAACATAGGGATTGGAATTCTGCCTGGCAGGTATAAGGGCTGCACAGGGTGGTGCTAGGTCGGGAAGAGAATACCATATGCCCTCCCTTACCACGTGTAGCAGCATGAGGATCAGACAGAGTATAGCCCAAAGGCAGGAGAGACATACAGAAGCCATGTTGTTATTTTAACAGCACACACAGCAAGTACCCTAAGTTCTTTATAGGTATTATTTTGTTAACGGAAAGTTAATCATTGGCTTAAACCTGTGCAAAAATGTTAAGGGAATGGATCACAAGATCGCAGGAGTAACTCTGATACATGTCTCTCATTTGCATCTGTGGATTGCAACTGTAGGAACAGCAGGGTGAAAGGTGTCTGAACATTTCCGTGCCTAGTAAATATTAACTACTTTGGAATAGATTAGAACAACAAACAGTTTGTAGGGTGAACTAGACAGACTAAAAGTTTGAGGCTCCTGAAATTTTCTTTTTTAACTTGAACCCTAATTTTACAATACTGGGAATTAATAATAATAAATAACAATTATAACACTTTGCAAATATTCTTTGATTAAGCCTTTGAATAATTATGGTATTACTATTCCCATGTTATAGACAGAAATACTAAGGATTACTACCAAAAAAACCCACCCCAAACCTGAGTTGGAGACCTGTTTACAACCGTTCTAATCTGTAGTGTAGATGGGAGCCCTAACTGGGCTGAAATGAAGGTCCTGTCTACAGCGAAGTCTGGAACTATGTTGTATTTGGAGGGGATAAATGTTGTGTCACGGAGTAAAAATATTGTAACTGGTCTGTTGGCTTATTTGAATTTTAGTGTGGCTTGGGCATAAGGCATAGGAAAATCAGTTCACTTTTCTAACGTCATGTAGCTAGTCAGAACCAGACTGTAACTTGGGGCTCCTGACTCTTAGTCCAATGGATTAAACACTAGATCCATATTTATTCTTATTAGAGATGCATACTAGTTCACTGCATCACTGAAGAGAGTTCTGGTTAGGAACCACCTATGTTTCAGGAATGACAGGCACACATCAGTATTTATTTATTCTATATACCTTTGTCATGTAGTCACAGTCTTAGTGCTCTGGAACCGCTCTGACTGAAGCTCAGCCAGGACTCTGGTGCAGCATGTCTCCCCTCAGGACAGATTTTCACCAGAGCAAGAAGCCTGCTTGGCTTTGGCGCTTCCTGGGTCTGACCTCGGAGCATTCAGCATCTCAGTTCAGTGCTGGATTTAGGGGCAGGCGACATTAGACTGGTGTGCTGGGCTTGGGGTGCTGTTTTTGTTGTTAGCAACAAAAGGGAAAATGGAATGTTTGAAATAAAATGTTTCAGGTATTCTGTATGTGGATTCATTTTTCACTAACCTCCTAGAATGTTCTGGACCTTTGTAGAATCTTGTGGAACCTTCCAGACTTTCTGAGAACTACATTTTCCTCAAACCTCCTAGAATGTTGTCAGCCATGCCCAGGGTTGCCAATTTTGGTTGGACGTATTCCTGGAGATTTCATCACATGACATAATCTTTAATTAAAGATTAATCTGTAATTCCTGGAGACTCTAGTACAATTCTGGAGGGTTGGCAACCCTAGCCATGCCCGCAGAGGTATATGAGGGGTGGGGCATCACTATATAAGAACAAACTGAAGTGATGTGAGAGCTCAGCTGCAATATTGTGAACCTTGTTTTATTGTGTAATTGTGAAAGTGTACTTGTGTTTTAAGACTTGAAGAGTATAAGTAGTGACTAATAAAGGACATATTTAATGAGCCGCCAAAGATACCTGTCGAACCCCTATCTACACAACAATATAAAAGAAATACTATTATTTCTTTTGCCATGCTTAACATGTAATGTTTGATGACATTCTAAGACTGCGGAAGATGGGTGGGAGGTGCCGAAGACACTCCTCGCCTGGGACACCATTTGATGTAGGACCAGCCCTGCTCCTGTTCACTCCGTGAGCTCCCTGCAGTGATTCCACCTGGATGGGACACCTGGAGAAGCCTTACATGCCCCCAAAGGGACCATGCACCCCAACTCTGCAGTCAGAAGTGACTCTTGGCTAGCATTGTAAAACACAAGGGTTTATTAGTCATCAGGAATACAGTGTAGAATAGATCTTTTTAGCACAGGAATTAGGAACATTCAGTAAAGTCCATCTTGTGGGGAGGGAATCCAAAGCCCAGGGCCCTGGCTCTCCCCCCGAGTCCCAAACCAGGAGCCTGATCAGCTTCCTGCAGCCCTGCCTCAGACACGCCTGTTGCCCCTCTCCATTCTTTCTCATTTCCTGGGCAAAGGGGTCAGTAGGTGTCCATCCCTTTCCTTGCTCTAATTTGTTGGGGTGGGAGGCCCCGGCCATCAGTTGCCAGGTTATGGAGTGTTTCAGTCTTTATCTACATGCAGACAGCTAGAGGTAGCCACCCCTGCCCACTAGGGCCTCAGCAAAAATCACATACCCTTGTCCCACCACTTAGGTATTTGTGTAACACACAAGGGAAACCGAGGCACACACAGTATTCATGCAAAAAAATAAGAAAAAACCTCCCACTTTGTCACAACCTTTGTAATAATAATGGTTTGTAGTGATCTAATGTCTTCCAACTGAGGGTTTCACTTAGCCATACGTAGATATTGAAAAGTACCTTGGGCCAGACTTTTAAAGGTATTTAGGCACATAAAGATGCAGATACGCACTTAGGTGTTTTGAAAATCCCACTAGGTGCCTACCTTCATCTACAATTAGGCTCCTAAATCCATATTTAGGC